CCTGAATTTCAGATGGAAGTGCTTGGCTTGATACTGATTAAATAAATTCAAATATTAGCAAAGGTTGGTAACAATATAATGAGGATAACAATAAGTTTATCCATGGTGATCGTATGGGTCATTCACAATTATCAAAATTTCAACAAGTGTACATACAGTAAGTGGGAGGGGGGGTGATATTAAATTATGTACACTTTTAAATATGCACAAAACTGTTGATTCGAAATTACCTGCAATATTAAAAATAATTGATTTTATGACCAATTATAATGCAACCAGGTTCATAAAAATATTTGTATGCATTCAAGCACTTTACTTCAGTTTGCTACACAAAATGAATACAATGGTTTTGCAAAAATCAACATTTTTTTGTACACTGTCAGGGGAAGGAGAGGGTACCGAAAAAGAGCACTGTTAACATGTGAATAAATATAAATATTATTTTTTTTAAATATTGATTAAATGATAACAACCTTCTTTGAATTCTGGTATTCTTTCTGATGCGAGTTCTTGGCTTGAACTAGTGGCTTGGTTTGTTTTCTTTTTATCTGTTGAATTAAAGAATCTTCACATTAGAATGATACTGATTAAATAATTTCAAATATTACTAAATGTATGGTAACAAGAAATATATTATTAAGCATACAATGGGGATAAAACTTGGAAAGTAATGATAATATTACTATGATGGCAACAGCATTCAAATTATTAAACAATTTTCTTTGAATAGTCTTAGAGATTATATTTTTTAACTAAAGTTAATCTATGGTGATCTCACTTTAAAATGTTGTAACAATAACAATTACAGTTTAAAATAATAAATAATAAAATATAAATATTATTTTTTTTAAATATTGATTAAATGATAACAACCTTCTTTGAGTTCTGGTATTCTTTCTGGTATTTCAGATGCGAGTTCTTGGCTTGAATTTGTGGCTTGGTTTGTTTTCTTTTTATCTGTTGAATTAAAGAATCTTCACATTAGAATGATATTGATTAAATAATTTCAAATATTACTAAATGTTGGTAACAAGAAATATATTATATAAAGCATACAATGGGGATAAAACTTGAAAGTAATGATAATATTACTATAATGGCAACAGCGTTCAAATTATTAAACAATTTTCTTTGAATAATCTTAGAGATTATATTTTTAAATTAAAGTTAATCTATGGTGATCACACTTCCAAATGTTGTAACAATAACAATTACGGTTTATTATCATTATGGTTAAAGATATGATAGAAATATGAATAAAATATCCAATTATGTATATTTCTTTGAATATTGATTAAATAATAACAACCTTCTTTGTGTTCTGTTTTTATTGGTCCTGACATCACATCATACTGTGTATAAAAATATAAATAAAACAATTAACACCACATTGTTGAATACAAAAATATAAAGGATTGACATTTCAGCTCAATCATGGACAAATTCTCAAGATCAAGTGAACTAAAAACATAAAACAATCCAAATATAGGTAACAGGGAGGTTACAAACATTTACCTGATTAACTCCTACATTTACATAAAACTAGAGAAAGTTAGCTTAATCATGAAATGATTAAATGATGATAAAATAATTTACTATTATGTTCAATACACAATTAACATATTTAATTATTAACTTTTACTTCAAATACCAAGTTAAGGTGTGCTCTGTGAGACATATCCAAACAGGAATTTGAATAGAATTGTGGAAAATGAGTCTGGCTTTTGTTTACTCAATGTTTTCTGACACTTTTTCATACCCTAAATGTTTTGATATTGTTCTATTTTTTAAGGATGTCCTATCATAATTTTGTGTGCCACTGTTACAAGAGTTCATATGGAATAAATTTGACTTTAATTGATGATGTGCCTAACTTCCTTTTTAATTGATATCTTGCTATAAATTTGAATGGTACAAATTCAAACTTAGCACAAGATTCAAAATTGTTCACCAACTTGCTCAAAGTTCTATGTGAATGGCACTACTGTTCAAGTTCAAGTTCAAAAGTACATTCATTCATAGTGGTCAACATACAGATACATAAATTATACATACTGTAAGTAAACACAACTGAAATAAAATAAATGAAATATTAAATAGTGACCATCATTGGGATCAAGATTAGAAGTAAAACTTGTCTCACCCTGACCTAATAACGATACAAAAAAAAACAAACAAACAAAACAAAACAAAACAAAAACAAAAAAATATAAATAAATAAATTAACTGAGTTAATATTAATGATCATTGGAGCAATTGATTCATGCTACTCAGTGTAATTAGAAGCTCACATCAGATAAACGGTTTTGCTTTTTTTTTTGGAATATTTTGTTTTGTTAAGTGATGGCTTTAAATCCTTTATATAACATATAAATAAATTTAAATGTGTATGAAGGAAATATTTAGTAGTATTTCCTACAACTCAAACTTAGAACACAGCAATATGAAAGAAAGGACTACTAATTTTGTTAATCATTTTGGAAGCTTCATTTAGAATATGTTTATATATAGTCTCCAGATATAAAATATGATACAGGTCATGTTATGATATTCATTTAGGCACGTTTGCCAAGGATTGACAATAGCTGAAGTAATCACTTTCATATTTAATATGTAATAATCATTTACATAAAACTAATACATAAACCAAGTATCATTATGAAGATTAAGGAGTGGAGTTGTATACCGTAAATTAAAAAATATTACCACCACTCTTACAATTTTTAAAAGGATAAATTCAACATAATTTTGATAAGTTTACAGTATAGTATATTTGGATGTACCTTTGGTTTTTTTGTTTTCAGTTTTTCTATTCTTCTGTCGTTAGTTTGTATTTTCATAAGCAGTTCTCGTTTAGGTGATCTCCTTATTCCTAGGCCCTGCTTAGAATTGTTTAAACTTTGTTTCAGCTTCAATGCCCCCTCGCTTTTTAACTCACTCGATTTAAAAAGCTGAAATTCTACAAGCATCTCATCCTTTAAATATAACCTCAAAAGCTATCTCTCTCTCTTTCCGTGGTTTAGTAATATTTTTTCCCTCTGTCTCTCCCCCCCCCCCACCACACCCCTCTCTCTTTTTTTCTTCAGGCTGGTCCTAAACTTATATATATATTTTTTTAATTTGTTTGAATTTTAACTTTGTTATTTTCTTTATTTTGCCATTATTATTCTTCTTTTAATTTTTTTTTAGTCAATTTGATTTTATTTTAAATTTTATTTATATAATATGTATATATATTGTAATGATTTCCTTTCCTTTGTTACTTGGTTTTTAATATTATTTTATCATTTTACTTTCTTTGTTAACCATTATATTTCCTTAGTTACTTGTGTTATGTATTGAGGCTCCCTAATGTTCAGCTCCAGCTGGATGGACCACCCTCGTAAAATATTGTTGAAATAAAATAAAATAAAAACAAATTAGTTGCACATTTTATAGTTAAGTTAGTTTCATGATGTGTGAAAAAAACATACAGCCTCGTGTTCCTCTAGTGTGATATATGATTTTCCTTTTCTCCTTTTTTTGCTGAATGAAGAGAACACACGCCTAATTAATTTCTGGGTTCTCGTTCTTTTAGGCATGTGTGCTGGTGCTGGTGCTGGTAGAGGTGCTGGTTGAGGTGCTGGTAGAGGTGCTGGTTCTGGTGATGGTTGAGGTGCTGGTACTGGTGCTGGTTGAGGTGCCGGTTCTGCTGCTGGTAGAGGTGAAGGTTCTGGTTCTAGTGTTGGTTGAGGTGTCGATTCAACTCCCTCTGTTTGATTACCTTTCAGTTTTAATTTCTCAGCAACTCTACCTTCTAATTCATTATTATATATCAGCTTAATCCGTTCACACTCTATAAAGATTTAAAATAACAGTGAAATTCATCAAAGCTCAAGTGATAACAAATAACAAAAGGATTTAAAGTTATATTGTTTCTTGTCTTACCGTCCATGTCCTCAGTTTCTTTCCACTTACAACCAACATTAGTAGTTTGGAAAGCAGTAGTCAAAACAATTCCATCGGTTGATGGTTCTGCTTCATTAAATCTGTGGAAATAACAGTCTAACACAATTTAGCATTACAAATTGTGTATGTGGGTCGAGTCGAGTGGCCGAGCGGTAAGGCAGGGGCGCCGCTAGCTACAGCTTTAACATCAGCGCTGGTTCCAGCCGCTCCTCGTTTATGGTTCGGTTGGTATAGAACCAAGTCTTCTCGGATAAAAACTTAAAATGGAGGTCCAGTGTATACATCTGGCTCGTGTGCACTTTAAAGAACCCATTGCATCTTTTGGAAGAGTAGGGGGTTACCCTGATGTTATGGTTCATTTCAGCCCCTGTCGTTGTGGAATGATGTGACCATTTACCTACCAAGAAGCGCCTCTTCACGGCTGCTAGGTAGTCACGGACCACGCCCATTTGCAATTCAGCACAATGACGCTGCAAGTTATGGGTTATTCTCCTACCTTTACCTTTACCTTTATGTTAAAGTGGATATTGTAGTATAAGTGCAATGGCGGATTTTGAGGAGGGCATTGCAAGTATCTTCGTATGAATTATAGATTTCATATAAATTTGCAATTGATTGATTTATTGATGATTGGGCTGTGGCTTACATTGAGGAGTAGAGGTATGACTAATGAAAATTTGTACATTTTGAAACAATAATTGTTTTCATCCAGGTCCAGAAAATAACCCACTTCTGTGGCCATCATAATGTATTGTAATATATATAAAAAGAACATAAAATACAAT